GCTGATCTCAACCGTTGCAAGGACGCATGCTTGTAAGTCTTGTAAGGAGAGGATCTCAACTCGAAACGACTACGTGGACTTAACTTGGCCTTGTCGTTAGAAACAAAGGAAAACGTTAGCCTCTAGCCTCTTCTTCCTCTCTCTCTCATCTCACTCTGCAATTGAGTGTTTTAGAGTGAGAAAAAGAGAGGCAATGTCGAAGCTTCTACACACTTCTCACTTCACCTCCATCCACCGCCGGAGCTTCTCTTCCATCACTCTCTCTTCATCTCCACCTTCGATTCTCCTCACTCCCTCTCTCTCTCCTCTCCGTTCCAAATTCTCTCTCTTCACTCCCCTCTCAAACCCCCCTCAACCTCTCTTCCAATCTCTCTCCAATTCACGTCCTCGCCGAAACCTCTCAATTCGAGCTTTCGATTCGTCTTCCGAGGCCAAAAAGGACCAAGTATCGGCTGAGAAAGAGAAAGACCCTAATTCTTCTGAAACTCCGGGCGATGGTGGTAATGGAAGTGTGAGGAGCTCCGATGATGTGTATCCGAGCGGTGAGTTTGAATTTGAGGAGTTTGGTGCGTGGAGGAAGTTTGTGGTGAAGCTTCGAATGCTTTTTGCGTTTCCGTGGGAGCGCATTCGCAAGGGCAGTGTTCTTAATATGAAGTTGCGTGGGCAGGTTAGCATTGCTTTACTATGATGAATTTAGGAAAGTTTGCATTAAAGATAATAGCAAAATGCTAGGAATTTCAAAAGTTTTATCAAAAAAATCAAGTGGGTCTCATACTCATGTAAAGATATTTGATAAATTTTTTGATAAACTCTAGCATTACTCAAGATAATAATTGGATTGAATATATTTCAGTTATATGGTAGTGGATTACTGTTGTCAGTTATGTTGTTGTTTTTTGTTTGTTTGTTTGTTTTTTTTTTCTTCAATTTGTTGGAGATTATTAAGGAAGGAAAAGATAGGCCTCCTTTGGCAAGTGGCTGTTTGTCAAAAAAAAGTTATTAAAAAAAAAAAAGCTAAACTTATATCAAAAAGTTAAAGATTTGCTTTTCTGTCTATTTTTTACACATTTTTTTCGTAAAATGTAAAAAAGTTATCTAAAATATATTAATTTTTTTTACCTCATATTTTAGCCAAAAAATTAAAAAGTTACTAAAATAATCTGTTCCCAAATGAGGCCATATATGACTCCCCTTTGTAGACCTATTTAGAAACTCAGTGATGTGTATGTGATATGATTGGTTGATAATTAAAGAAATACGAGAGAGCGTTGCCGTAGATATCCTTATTAATCGCCACATTGGGTTTGAAAAGTGAATCTAATTTTTGGACCCGAATAGCAATGCACATTAACAAATATTAGGAGACAATAATTTCTGGGGGTTAAATTTTTTCTGTGTTTGGTTTGTATTGGGTGCAATTGGGGCATGTTAAGGATGTTTTGTGCAGTTGGAAGGGGGGCTGGGTAGGAAAGAGAGGTTGGAAGGCTTGGGATCTTGCAACGTTGTGTTTGATGTGGCTGGCTTGGCTAGAATGTAATTGGCAGATTTTCACGGGATAGAGGTTTCTGTGCCTCGGTTGAAGTATTTTTTCTGGGCGGTCTTGTATAATTGGGTGTTGGGGAGCGTGGTTCTCGACTTATTTTCCTTGGTGGATTTATTGATTCTTTATTTGTTTAGATGTAGGTTTCACAGTAGTGCTGGTTTGTGGTTATATTTGTGAGCATCATCTTGATGCATTTTCTCTAATAAAATGGTTACTCTTTATTTATCAAAAAATATACATATATACATTAGGAGACAATCATAGTACACCAACACATGAAAGCTTCGCATCACAAAAATTCTAAAGTTCACACCATTTTTTCATTTCATCATTGATATTTGTGAACCATGAATTTTTGTTCTGTAGTTGATATTTCAACAGTTGATTTTGTTTGATAGTGGATATGTGAACAGACAAAATGGTGTGAACTGAGGAAAAGCTCAGAAGTAATCAATCTTTGTCTTTAGTAGGGATTGATCTCCTGAGTGGCCAACTGAGTTGGCCTGGTTCTTACTCTGTACTGTCTGAAATACAAATGTCAACTAAAAACTGGATGTATTATGAACAGAAAATAGTAGTGAACTTGATTAACTCAGCTAAGATCAACAATATCTTGGTTGAACTTTCTGGTTCAGCTACATCAATTATCGAGGATCATAGTTGGTGTTCTTTATACATATGCTGTCATATTGTGACCATCCATATTACTTGGCATGGTTTCACCAATTTTTTGTGTCACATAGTTCTTTTGAAACCAGAGCCCACTTAACCAATAGTAAGCAGTACTTACAACCTTATTGTAAATGATAGCAATAGCATAAAACTATGCTGCCTTAGGTTTGAATCAAAGTGTTGTTACTCAATTTGGGTAACTAACCATAAGACTACCATTATTGTTTATGATGTTGAGTGCATAGTGGGATCATTGAAGTACTTGATAAGTCCATGAGAGCTTTGATCCATTTCAGGCTCAAACAATTCTTAATGATCTAAAATTCAAGTTATCAAGTTTATTCCTATTTATCAGATTCTCTGTGTGTTTGTTTTCTTCTTTCCTGCATATAAATTTTTAGATATTGATGCTCTATTTGGTGATGGAGATGAGATTTATTTACTTCTTTGTCTCCCTCATTTTTTTTTTAATCTTTTTTAATAATTTTCAGATATCTGATCAGCTAAAGAGTCGTTTCTCTTCAGGACTATCTCTACCTCAAATTTGTGAAAATTTCATAAAAGCCGCATATGATCCTCGTATCTCTGGTATCTATCTCCACATTGAACCCTTGAATTGCGGGTGGGGTAAAGTCGAAGAAATCCGGAGGCATATGCTAGATTTTAAGAAATCAGGTATCATTATTATTTGACATTTTTATTTGGAGTACTTGAAATCTATGGTAAGTTTCCTGCTTCCCTATGTTGAACCTTTGGTCCTTCTCTGGCTTGTTGGCATTTTAGATTGAGAAAAAAGTTGATAAATCCCAGGAGATCTGCCAATTCAACAATCATAACTGCATGTACGAGTCTGTAGTCATATTGAACACATCCGAATGTATAGATTGACATGGCCATATGTAGCTAGATCACATATATTTCTGTCAAATTTGTGAGCAAAAGTGCCATAGAATCACTTGCTGAGCATGATTATATAGTAGACTTCTTTATGACTCTTTCTAATGGTTCTTCTCACATTTTATTCTATAGCATTCCAAGCTTATTTGTTTGGAAATGCCTTGTTTCCTGGATATGGAGTGTTGTATTTATATCTTATAATCTTGGAAGTGAGTAGCTTTTTAAAACATGAAGTCATGTTTTATCTCCCTCACAATATGTTAGTTTTGTATATCTGAATGAAATCTTTTGTCTAAGAGGCACAAACACATCTAAGAAGGTGCCTTGTTACATTATCTCATAACCAACACCTTGTGGACACTCCTAGACATGGGCTGATGTAGGACGAGTAGGGATTACTTTCTTACAAATAGTGTACCCAGTTTAAGTATACTAGCAGCAGCAGCAGCAACAATAGACTTATAGGGTTGGATTTGGTGGGATTTTGTTGCTGCAAAAGTATTTAAAGAAATAGAAGTTTAAGGGTTTGTAAAAGGATAGGGTTTCGGGAATGAAAACATGAGTGGTTAGGGGCTGTCGGGTGGCTGTTGGGAGCACTGTGAATAGTGATGTGAACAATAATTTTGCTGGATAGAAGAAGAGGAGAGAGAGAGAGAGAGAGAGATGTTTCACCCTCACAAGGGATAGGCCAATCACACAAATACAATCTCTAATTTTCATAATATTAACTCTTCTCCAATCATTGAAATTACACATATATTTATAGATTAAAGACTCTCCTAATTCTATAAGGATTATAACTCAAATTTAGAAACTAAAAATATTTAGCAATTACTAATATTCTAGACCAACTATAACTTCCAATTCTACTTCAATTATAATAGGAAATTTTAATGACTTCTAGTTATATTTCAATATCAAAGTAGGAAACTTGGACTTGTGACCGTTAAAATTATTTTAGACATAATAAAATCAATATAAAGACCCATTTAATAACTTCACCCAAAATAAAATTCATGGGCGACCCCTACAACCCATGCCCAACAATTATTAGAATTACTATTATACTTTTAATTACTAAAACCTACTATAGTGACATGAACACTTGAAATTATTCCAAATCTTTAATTCTTGATACCCTAAATGTGCTTCATGTGAAATTTCAGATTTGCTATTTTTCTTCTTTCCATGATCTTCATTATGGGCCCAACAACTTGTGAAATTGTCCATAATTATAGAACATAGCACTATTATAAACAATTGGATGGCAACATCAGATGCTTATGAAAACATAGATTTTGTAGTGAAAAGGGAACATCTTAATGGGAGCCATGTTTAACCCTCTTTATATCATGATAACTGCACCCTCAAGTGTTTAACCTTTCCTTTCTTAAGAATGTTTAATATTGTATATGGCCATAGAAAGTCGAGCAAGCAATATAAGTAATAGCATACAGAGCACAATTATCTAAATGAGTTCGTCAAGCTGTATCTTCTACAATATTAAATTCTTATTAAAGAAATTTGGAAGATAAAAAATGTATATATTTGTTTCAAAAAGTTGATGTGCATGTGTATATTTATGAATATAATTGAATTATATATATTGCTATGTCGTTGTCTGTATCCTAGTTTTTGGGGGTTATTGTGTTGGTGTATCAGCATTATATCACATTCGTGTCGTATGTCTATGTGTGTGCTACTTAGTCTTTTAAAAATATTTCATGTATTTGGATCTTTGACTTCATTTGTAAATACCTTGCAGGAAAATTCGTTGTGGGTTATGTCCCTGCATGTGGAGAGAAAGAGTATTACCTTGCCTCTGCTTGTGATGAGCTATTTGTCCCTCCAAGTGCTTATTTTGCTTTGTATGGTTTGACAGTTCAAGCATCATTCCTTGGAGGTAACTTGTTCTGTCACAGGTTTCAAGTTCATTTGACAAATGTAAAATGTCTGCTTATTCTAGCCATTCATTTTGCTTTGATGTGTGTGGGATCTGGAAACAATTGCTTGCATTCCTGTACATGTAAGGCCTCGTTTGGAAATAGACTATTTAAGTAACTTTTTGACTTTTTACGAAAAGATATGCAAAAAAGTAGAGAAAGTGATGTGACAACTTATAGTAATTTTTTGGTTTTCTGGCTAAAATATTCCCTTCCCAAACGAGGCCTTACTGATGTGACTAAACTAAATCCTACCATGAAGATTGTTTCAGACTAAATGGCTTATAATTGACACAGTGGATGGTTTTTAACTCTTAAAAATCATATGGACTTTCTTTACTGCTAATTATTTTGTCTCTCTTAATGGTTGCTTTCAACTACTCATGTTACCATTATGCATTGTTTTGTTACTGTAATGTGGGACAGATCATATGGCTGATCTTAGTTGTATACATTACATTCCATGTGATTATTCATCATAAAACCTAATATTGCTTGTGAAGCCTACATCATGAAGTACATTATATATATTATTGGGCTCATTTTTTATCACCATATGCTTTTGGGACGTGGTTGTATTTATTTTTATAATCATTTCATTTAATATTTAATTGTAAATATTTTTTATTTTATTACTATAATGTGTTGTCTAAAAAATGTCTTTAAAAAAAAATCAGTAGCTCAAAATTAATTTTTGCTTATGGCACAATTTTTATTTTTATAATCATTTCATTTAATACTTAATTGTAAATAATTTTATTTAGTTAGCTATAAAGTATTGTCTAAAAAAATGTCTTTTAAAAAAAAAAAATCTTTAGCTCAAAAATAATTTTTGTTTATGACACAAATTTTTTTTTTTTATAATCATTATATTTAATAATTGTAAATATTTTTTATTTAGTTAGTTCACGTATTGATCAAAAATAATTTTATAGACATTTAAAATCAATTATTGTCATTAACTATTGAAATAAAATATAAAAAGCTCCTTTTATAATGATTTAAAAATATGAAATATATTGGATCATACTTAAAAATTTACAAAAACTGATCAATATTTATTTTAAAACCCAATAAATATGATCATGGAAAAAAAATGTGCGTATCGGTAATTTTTTTTTCAAATTGTGAGAAAAATAAAAAAATTCACGGTTCCGGTTACCGCAACTGTTACGCTACAACCTTTACACCCCGTAACCGCAACCGCGCCACCGTTACGGCGACCACAACCGCTTTTTAGAACCTTAGTTTAGACCTAAGAAGCACGGACACGGACACAACACAACACGGACGTGTAAATTTTCAAAAAATGCAAGACACGACACGTTGGGGACACATGCAAAACATATATCTTGTATATTTATTATATGTCATATTTTTAAATATTTAATTTTATCAAATTTATCAGCCTTAGGTATGCTATTTTAGTAAAAAAGTAAAAAAAATAATTTTTTTTTTAAACAAATAGTCCTCATTGTGTCCTTAATGTGTCCGCAGCGTGTTCCTAGCATGGTCGCAGCGTGTCCCTACTTGTCCATAGGGTGTCCCATTGTGTCCGACATGTGTCCAGAGTGTGTCTGTGTCCGACACGTGTCGGACACTCGTACGTGACCTCCGGGGAGGTATCCGTGCTTCATAGGTTTAGACTGTTGTGCCCTTTAAAATATGTTTGAAACACACTGCATTTTTGGTGAGTTCTGTCAGGATGTGTAACTTTATGGTAACAGATGCATATATGGATTAACTTTACTTCTATCTATTTATCATAGGTTATTTTGTGAGAATGTGTAGCTGAAGTTACTTCTATGTGCAAAATGCAGCTGTACTTTGCATTACCTATGTCTCATGGTTCCATTATAACCGTGGCGCAGTGGTATAAAAATTTGTTTTGCAGGTGTTCTTGAGAAAGCTGGAGTTGAACCACAAGTGCAAAGAATTGGGAAATACAAAAGTGCTGGGGATCAACTGGCACGCAAAAGTATGTCTGAAGAAAACTGTGAGATGCTGACTACATTGCTTGATAATATTTATGGGAATTGGCTGGATGAAATTTCTGTTACCACAGGTGAGTTTCTTGTGCCCTGGCATGATGTTTAAGGGTTAAACTTAATTATGGGGTTCCTAAATTCTCATACAGGAAAGAAAAGAGAAGATATTGAGAACTTCATTAATGAGGGAGTTTTCCAAGTAGAGAGGCTGAAAGAAGATGGATGGATTACAAATATAAAGTATGATGATGAGGTACATAAATCCGTTTCCAGATTTTTGGCATGAAATTTTTGTTAGAGAAATGGTTTATATCCTGTAACAGTTCATTAAATTTAGACGTCCATAGAGTAAGACAGCAGCACCACTAGCCAATGGTGCGTTCCTGAGTTATAAATATATTTAGTTCGAAATTTGTATGGGAATAAAAGCATCAATTAATCCACAAGAGTTTACACTTGTTGTGAAATTTTCTATTTTACACCATTTGATGATGTTTTTTGGATTTATTTTCTTGAGTTCACGTCTTATCTGGGTCATTATGCTGATCAAATATAGAAATGCTTGAAGTTTGAGAGTGTTATTAAATTAGATTTTTTTTATAGATGTTTTTGTAACTAAAAGATATGAGTTTTTAGATTGTATGCAAGGTTTCGAAAAGCGGTTGCGGTGGCATGGTTGCAGTTGCAAGGTGTAAAGGTCGTAGCGTAATAGTTGCGGTAACTGAGACCGTGAATCTTGTTATTTTTCGCATAATTGAAAAAAACCTACCGGCTGTTAGAATTTACCTTACCTACTACACTCCACTACCACCTCCACTTCACCTACTACACTCCACTACCACACTCAACATCTCCTATATAATCAGCATGCTTGTAATATCAAAATACACAACAATCTTGTAAGACATCAATCAATAATAATACATCAGTTATTTTTTAACATGGTATCAGAGCAGGTTTAGAACTTACTATTTTTGCTTCACCGGCGGGCGGTAACCTCACCTTAGCCGTCCGCCGGACCTCAACCCAATCTCTCTCTCTCTCTCTCTTTCTTCCAAGTTCCATGGGCAGATCTCCTTGCTGTGAGAAAGAACACACAAACAAAGGAGCATGGCCCAAAGAAGAAGATGAACTCATCATTCACCTCCATGGCTTGATTAGCCGGACACGTTTTCCCAGGCGGTCCTTCCTCGGCCGTGGTGTTCCGGCTGAGTCACCAGACGACCATCGACGAGCTCTGAGCTACGGCTTCCTCCTGGGCGTCGAAGGCGGCTCGTCAAGCCGCAATCGTTTCTCGGCTCTCCTCACGCCGCGACTCTTGTCCAGCGCCGCGGCCTTGCTGGCGCTTGCCACATCTCTGCCGACAGACTCCATCGCTACCGTCTTCTTTGATCTGCCGCCGTCGACAGCCTTCCCTACCGCCGCATCTCTCCTATCACCGCTTCGCCACACCTCAGTCCCTCTCCGACTGGCTCAAGCCCCGATTGCCCTCCGACTCCTTCGCTTCTTGGGGTGTCAAGCCCGGCACCCAGCACGTCCACAATCTCTGGAAAAATGTTGGCAACCACAGGATTTTCTGCTCGATCCTGCTTTTGAGGGATTTGATGAGCAAGTCCGGGAACTAAGGGAAAGGGCAAAGGAGATTCCAGATGATTACTTCGTTATTTTGGTGGAGACAGAGAGCATCTGGGCTAAAACACACTTAGCACACACACCCAACACACACGCACGGTTTTCCAAAAAAAACAAAAATAAAATAAAATAAAATAAAATAAAAAAATAAAAAATAAAATCTCTCTCTCGGGTTGCATTTTGAAGGGGGGGCAGCTGGGCACCCATACACGAGGCGCACACACATCTCATCATTACATTTCACATCATTACATTTCACACTTTACACACCACCCTTCTCCACTCATATTTTTTTATATTTATTTTTATTCCATCTTTTGATCCGGACACACACTGTTTTGCACACCCATTATCATCTTTTTCTCTGTTTTCTTTCTCTATTTTATTGTATTATTATTTTTTATTAAAAAAAAACAAAAAAAAACAAAAAAAAACAAAAGAAGAACTGCTACCATACTCATTTTATTCATGTTGGGGCTCACCCCGATCACCATTTTACAACAACACACAAAAAAAACAAAAAAAACAAAAAAAAAACAAAAAAAACAAAAACAACCCACACCCACAGTGGAATTTTTCTTCTCTACTCTGCTGCAGGTCTCTTCTTCTTGCCTCCGTCTTGGCCAGCCCTTGTCGGTGTTGCCTCCGGATTTCCCAGGCCACCAAGCACATTTACTCTCTGCTCCTCCACTGCCGCATATGGCGGTCCTCCAAATCGGAACATCACGGTGGCCTTCCGCTTCAGCTCCTTGTTTTCTGCCCTTAGCACGCTTATCTCTGCTCGCGCATCCTTATACATGCGTTGGAGCAGAGCCAGCTGGGAGGTTAACTGCTGCACCTCATTTGTCCTACTCTGCAGCCGGTTCGACAAGTTTGTGACCGCCGTCATGCTTTCCACACATGCCTTCAAAGTATACTGATTGGCCTCCACATCCGACAGCACTGCCATTCTTTGCTCCACAGACCGCATCGGAAAGTTCAACGGAGTAAACTCCGGGGCGCTTGGTTGAGTTTCCAGTGCCACCGCACCAGTTCTCTCTCCTGTGGACTCGTTGAGGTCGGGAAAGAGGGTGAGCAGCCCACGGGAAGACGAGGCCATTTTCTGGGCAACAGAGTGTTACAGAATATCTCTCACAACAGAGTGTTACAGACTATCTCTCTCAGCAATCTCAGCAAAACGACCTCTCTTTCTCAGCAAAACGAAGAATTTTTCAGAGGTTTCTCTCAGTTTTTCTGTCTCAGTTTCTGCCTCCTCCGCTTCGGTTTATAAAGACCATGCCACAGAGGCAGCCACGCGCATCGCGCGCCTTTTGACGCCGACAACCTGGCACGCCTTTTCATGGCACACCTTTTGATGAATTGGGCACGCCTTTTGATGGCACGCCTTTTGATAAAATTGGGCACGCCTTTTGAGGGTGCAACTTTTACAACGGTCCGACATGACCCCATAAACTGTCCCGACATTGATTCCGGTTAGCATACAGTGTCCTCTACACAGTTATGGCACCACCATCAGTGTCCTCTACAATGTTATGACACCCCCTTCAGTGTCCTCTACACCGTTATGGCACCACCATCAGTGTCCTCTCCAACGTTATGACACCACCATCCAGTGTCCTCTCCCACGTTATGGCACCATCTTTCAGAGTCTTCCCCAACGGTCTGACACGACCATACAGTGTCTCCTATTTTTTTTTATTTTTATGTATTTTCTTGTTTATTTTTATGTATTTTGATCCTTTTCATTTATGAATATTTGGAAAAATCACTTGCGTATCACACAAACACTGCAGTCACCCAATAGATTCTTGTCACTATATATTTTCTCACACTTTCTGTGACTTCCTCAACTACCAATAATAATTAACTATAGTATTTTAATTTTCTGGTTTTCTTGCACATAGCCAAATCATTGAAACTGATGTGCTTGTAGCCGAATCATGTGCCATAAAAATGGTCATAATGCAAGCTCACTCGCAAGTTGATCTTTACAGACTTCAAATTGAGTGTATTTGTGCTTCTTGAGATATTAAGTCAATCATGCAGAAAAACCATTAAAGATTGCGCAAATTAGTACCATGTTGATGTCAAATTAGTGATAACAACATATTTTTAAATGGGATACTAACGGCAAGGAGGGTCCTACCTACTTTCCAAACAATCCAAAAAAGGGGGGCCGGGTTCCAAGCATCTATTCCAAAACCTCAGGTGAGAAAGTAATTTGTCTACAACATATGCCATTGAATTACTGGTTGTAAAAATTTTATAGAGAAAGAGGACGATGAGAATAAAATTTGTATGTATTATTGATTGATATTTAGATATGTACAATTGATTCCTTATATAATAGAAAGATGTAGAGGGGTAGTAGGTGGGGTAGGTGAGTAGGTGAAGTGGAGGTGGTAGTGGTATGGGGTAGGTTTAGTGGAGTAGGTGAAGGAGTGATAGTGGTGTAGTGGGGGTTAGGTTTAGTGGAGTAGTGCAGGTGAAGGTGTATGGTGTAGTGGCGTGATTTAAACAGGCCCCCGCAAACTCCAAGGATGTAGTATTTCTTTTAGAGTAGGAAATAACCAACTATTTTGATGTTTGCGAGAGGGAGAGGAGGGAGTAACAAAACAAGGAAAAATACCATAAAAAAAATTTTAAAAGAGGAATAAGAACACTGTGTTATGGTCATGAAAATCTTAACGTCTCAGGCTCCGATCCGGTGGTTATTCCGTGCAGACATGGTAAAGACACGTGTGGTGGTTCTTGTCATACGTAGAGGAAACTGTGTATACGCGGATTGAGTCTGTGGTTCTGGGTGTCATAACCAGTAGAGGACACACTGTTATATATAATGGTTGGTTGTCATAACGTTTATTTTTGTAGAGACACTGTAGGGGATGTCCATAACCATGCAGAGGACACTTGTAATGGTGGTGTCATAACGGTGTAGAGACAACTGGGATGGCCGGAATGTCAGCATCCGATGTAGAAGGACAGTTTGATGGGTCATGTCGACCGTTTTAGCAGACAATGTTGTGACAGTTGTGGGTGACATTACGGAAGTCAGCTTGCTGGACCCTTGTCTTAAGAAACTAACCGGAATCAATGTCGGGAAGTTTACAGAGTTTGTCGGACCCTTGTAGAAATTAACCGGGAAAACCAATGTCGGGACAGTTTACAGGAAGTCTTGTCCGGACCCTTGTAGAAACTAACCGGAACTATGTCGGACAGTTCTACAGAGTCTTGTCGACCCTTGTAGAAACTAAACCGGAATCTATGTCGGACAGTTTACAGAGTTTCTTTCGGACCCTTAAAGGAGCTAACCGGAATACAAGTCGGGACATTACAGAGTTTGTCGGACCCTTAAAAAGTCGCACCCTCAAAAGTGTGCCCAATCTAAAGGTTCCTATTGACAACGTTTTCCGTTTGCCATCAAAAGGATGTGCCCAATCCATAAAAAAGGGTACGTGCCATCAAAAGGCGTCCCCAATCAATAAAAAGATGGTGCCATCAAAAGCGCCGCCAGACCAACGCGGCGCATGACGTGATCGACAGTGCGCTCGTAGTCGGCCTCTCTCGTCATGTGCTATATAAATGAAGGCGGAGGCTGATAAGAAACATTGGAAATCAAAC